TCCGTACCGGAGCGTCGATGTGACGTCACGGCTACCAAGTGCGCAGATAACTCGACCGGGTTGTAAATCTTATAGCAGACAAGTGAAATAAGTGACAAACAGATGAGAACCCACAGTAACTGTAGCTCGACCCTATTAGCATGGCTATAACGCCATATTTGGCGGTTCAAAAGCTTTGAAGGTTGAATGCCAGTACATTGTGCTTGCATTTTGTAGGCTGTCTACAAACACTAAATGGTTCAATAAAATTGGTAGGATATTACTTCTTCTACTAAGTAGACCGACGACCTCAAACAGGTAGAAGAAAGACACTGGATGTAGGCTGCTACCAACCGGGCGATATGGAAATCATTGGGGGAGGCCTATGTTCAACCCCCGCCTGCCAAGTCTTTGCGTCGAGTATAGTAGGGGTAAGGTAAGTGCCCCCTACTTCGGTATATTAAGGCTCTTACGACTTTAACATTTTATTTAAAAATAACCAAGCACGATATCAGTATAAAAGCTTTTGTATGCTAAACTTTGGTCTTTTGACAGTAAGTTAATACATAATTAATAGTTATATAGTTTGAACTTTTTTTTATATTAATTGTTCTGCGGACCTCTTGTTTGGATCCTGTTTCGTGACAAAATTTTGCTCTGTTTCTAAGTTCGTGAACTCATGTCCCCTATTTCGGGATAAGGTTTTATGCATCCAGTTAGGATATTTTAATAATGATTAAGGGTTTAATAAATTTAAAAACGATAATAAAAATTTAGAATAAAATAATTACGTGAAATTGACGATAATACTTACCTGAAATATTCATAAGAAATAATGTTTCTAGTATTATATTTTGATTTGTTAATTCTAACAATATGTGAAAATATTTATATAACCATTAGAAATGTGGGGGGGACTTANTATAACCATTAGAAATGTGGGGGGAGGGGGGGGGGGAACTTAACCCCCCACCCCCCCTTCGTACCCATAAAATTTTGATTTGTTATTTATAGCGATATGTGAAAATATTTATATAACCATTAGAAATGTAGGGGGGGACTCACCCCCTCCCCCCCTTCGTACCCATAAAATTTTGATTTGTTATTTGTAATGATAAGTATGTGAAAATATTTACACAAGCCATTAGATGCCAGGGCAGGGGTGGGATTATGGGGAGGAGGGGGGGGGGGGACTAATCCCCCTTCTCACCCCTGGAGCTGTTTCACGTGAGGGTAGCCCCCCTGAAAATAACCCCAGATACGCCAATGAATCATAATAAAAACTTAGTAATTAATTAATTTCTTAGGTAGGTAAGTATTAAAAACAAAAAAATATGTCGATTTCTTTGATGGTATGTGTCATAAAAGTACCTAAAACCATACATTTATATAACACGAACTTGGAAAAAAGTAACAATAATACGGATCCTTGTTTCGTGATACTAATTATTCCAAATTCCCCAAGTAAAATTCATGGATTATTGTCAAAATGTGTCAATTAACTATTATCTATCCCATAAACAATACAAATAAGCAAAGGTAAATAAAACAAATCGAAATAAAACCAAAATTACGCTGGTACTACTTATGCTAATTTATCTTAAAATTGGTCATATATGTGAACTTCAAACTCGTGTCATATAAATTCTAGTGAACGAAACATATACCGAATTTAGGTCATGAGAAACTTAAATAAATGCATTATTTGTTTCATAACTTACATTTAAATTATCATAAATAATTATTTAAAAACCAAGCATCAAAATGTTATCCATAACATCCTTGATTCGGTAGTGTCAGGAAATAGGGGACACCAGAAAAATAATATGTACGCTATTTCGTGAGTCAATTAATCGCAATTTTAAAGGAATTCTAAGTTTTCATATAACTTTTTTCTAAGCCAAATCAATTGTCAAGGAACACACGAAACCACTATTACAAGTTTTATTTAAATGGACGTTCCTTCGCCTTTTTATAAGCTTAAGAAGTTGGAGCGCTAACCTTACGGTGAGAGCAACCTTTGCAAGCCGCACGGCTGTTTTTGGCTCTCTGAGAGTGGACCCATTTATGCAAACGGGAACCAACCCACAGTTTGAGTGAAATTGAGTTAAGTACATAGATGGCGCTCAAATAACGCATTCTATCTTGTAAAAAAATTTGGTTCATTTACAACGACTAACAACAGAGATACAGCACTGTCACTTGCGGAACCAACCCGCTTTGGCCAACTTTTAAAAAACTATAAAGAACTAAACAGCATGGTCCCTAAACACTTAATTAAACTAATTATGCAAACCAGAACCAATGTTGGTTGGTTCCATTTAGCAAAAATAGTTACATTTTTTTTAAAAATAAACAGAACCAAAGAGTTTTGTTCTTGTTTGAATAATGCAAATTAGGTTAGTCTTGAAGGAACCATATAGCATAGTTCTTATTCTCGCAAATTTCCGCAGTATTTACACGAAAATAAAAGATCCATGTAGCATAGTTCTTAATAGTGTTAAAATTAAGCTTTATTTAAAAATAAAAAATCCGTTCTTATCGTTGCGTTGGTACCTTTAACATAAATGATTTGAATAATAAATTTATGCATTTTAAAACTCTACTCAAGAAAAAATAAAAAGATGAGACGAGGCAGTATGATCGACGACGACTAATAAGGACGTTGACAGAACATGAATGAGACGATTCGTGATGACTCTCGAAAACAGCTTGTAGACATGGCTTAGAAGTGAGATCAAAATCAAAAAATCAAAATCAAAAATATTTATTCAGTTTAGACCACAAGTGGCACTTATGAACGTCAATAGAAAATAATAAAAAAGAAAAAGGTAGCCCTTATGGGGCACTTTACATGTCTCCTTATCTTTTGGGCCCTACCAGCGCTTCGAGACAAACATATGGCAAGTGCTGAGAAGAAACGCCGGAACAAACTCAGGGGGGTCTATAATCCTTCAAAAAAGTTTCTTCGCCTTTTTAGAAGATGAGTATCACCACACTTCTGTGCCATGCCGTAGGCGTTTTTCCCTCGAGGATGACGGAATAAAACAGCTTCTGAAGAGCCTTTAGTACCGGCGTTCCTTTCAGAAGCTCAGCCGTGATTNCACATACCATCAAAGAAATCGACATATTTTTTACTTTTTAATACCTACCTACCTAAGAAATTAATTAATTACTTACTTTTATTATGAGTCATTGGCGTATCTGGGGCTATTTTCAAGGGGGGGGGGCTACCCTCACTTGAAACAGCTCCAGGGGGGGGATTATGGGAAGAAGGGGGGGGTTATCCCCCCCCCCCCCTTCCTCCTCATAATCCCACCCCTGGCATCTAATGGTCATATAAATATTTTCACATATCGCTAGAAATAAAAAATCAAAATTTTATGGATACGAAGGGGGGGGGGGATAAGTTTACCCCCCCACCCCTACATTTCTAATGGTTATATAAATATTTTCACATATTGTTAGAATTAAAAAATCAGCTAGACTCACATTATTTCTTATGAATATTTATCGTTTTTAAANATTTTTGTAGCGCCATTAGGATGCAGCCATGTCAACTTTGTCTGCTTTGGCTTCCTGAGGAAGGAGTTCATCATAAAGAGGCTATCCCACTCCATAAAGCCAGCCAGCAGTAGGCCACCTGCGTTCCTCTCTCCGTACCCAAATAGTTCCACTTTCAGCTCATTATCGGTTCGTTTACCCAGCTTCGCGTTGAAGTCCCCCATCATAACGGTAAAATGGGACCGGGAGCTATGTATGGCTCTGAAAAGATCCTCATATGTACATATTCTCCACTTTGTCGTCGGGCTGTTCCGGGGTCGGTGCGTATACGTATATGACCTTCAGCCAATACCGTTGTATAAGGTACGCTACCCTCGCCGAAACACTCTCGATCTGGACCACGTTGTTGACAAGGGACTTGTGAATGATAAACCCGACACCATTCTAGGACTGCTGGTCGCCCTCCCGGAAATAGAGCAGATTTCCAGATTTGAAGATTATGGTGTCCTCCCCCTCTCTTCGGACTTCACATAATCCTACGATATCCCACCACAACCTGCTCAGTTCTCCCTCGAGTTCGGCGAGCCTCATGTCAGTCCACAGTGTGCGAGTGTTAAAGATTGGCCAGAGGTCGTCGGAGTTGGTAGCCTGGCATTATCCGGTGATTCTTCTGTTGGCGGTGGGGACGAGTACCTATTATTTATGGCCGTCCCCACACGGCACAAAGAAGTTAATAATATACAGAAAAATATCAGAAGCAGGGTCATGATAACCAAAAGTGATATGGACTACAAAACCCTGAAAAGTAGCAACATAGAAGACAATAATATTGACGGTTTTACCGGGCCTATCGATTTTGAGGTAGAAGACGATAATAATAGTGATTTTAGTTTAAGGGTTCGTGATTCCATCGTATAATTTTCGTATTAAATGAAAGATAATGATTCACTATGTAATAAATGGCATTAAAAACTATTTTTTATATAGAATAACTTTAATTTTTAGAAATATCACAACAAGAAATCTTACATCCGTTTTGCAAGAAGGAACTAAGCAACAAAATATGTTTTTGCAAGAAAGAACCAACCGGTTTTTAACGATTTACTTTATATTATAACTTTATAAAATGTATAAATCTGATATTCCTAGATAGGCTGCAGTATCCCACACAAGATTAACAAGTAATCATTCATTAGTATATTATGTACGCATTTTGCAACATTTGTTTACAAAAGTCTCGTTTTCTCGAAACCACCCTGCTGTGGGTTGGTTCTTGTTTGCATAAATGGGTCCGTTTGAAGCTTCGTATTGCTCTCATTTTTGGCGCCACAATGTTGGTACTTGGTTTTTTAGATAGCTTAAATAATAGAGTTTTTGTAGTAATGAATAATTTTTATAAATAATATTCCATTTGCTTATTATTTGAGCTAGAAAAAAAACTTACGAACTTACGTACTATCACGAACTAGTAGCCGTTTACCTTAGATGATGATCAACAAGTTCTTACGTTGTTCCAGGAGTGTCCAGAGGGAGTGGTCCAGGAAGAATCCTTCAAGGACATCTACGCGAAATTCTTCCCCCACGGGAGTGAGTACCAGTTTTACTTCATTTTAGTGTAGGAACATAACTTAATATCTCATTGCTAATTTCCAGAACTAATAAAAATTGGGGGGTTACAAAGCCCCAAAATGTAGCACAGTGTGTAGCTAACTATGCAATATGTTACATACAACTCAGTCGAGTTATTAACTGCGCACCTGTCAGCCGTGACGTCACATCGCCGCTCATCGTGTGAGTTTATCAAACGTATTCGATATCGAGTCCGTCAAAAAATCTATGAAGATTTCTTGAAAGTATCCACTAGGGACGCTGTACAATCCGTCATACAGGGTGGAATTTTGTAATGCCACCTGGAGGGAAAGTACTCTTAATACTGTAGATAGAAAATTTTACTCAAATAAAACATTCCTTTAATTTTGAAAAGAAATAGAACTGCATTCAAAGATTTCTATTTTTTTTAAATTCACCACCATAGCCATCCTACCATACAGTTTTCTGTAAATAATTAAAATAATTTAAGATTTCATGCTTTTCCTTTCATTTGATTTATCAACTTTGTTAGAAAGATTTCATCCTTATACTTAACCCTAACGATTGATGTAATAAAAATACAGGGTGTAATTTTAACAGATTTTAGTTTTTTTTATTTTTTTTATGCATAACAAGGCAGGTATTTGACCACAATCGCACCTGATGTTAAGTGGGATGCAGTCTAGGATGGTACATATCTGCCCTGTAAGTGCTTGTTGTTGGTTGGTTGGTTGGTTGTTGGTTCGATTCGTGTGTGGAAAACAAATTTTTGGATGCAGTTCTATTTCTTTTCAAAAATAAAGGAATGTTTTCTTTGAGAAAAAAATTCTATCTACAATATTAAGAGTACTTTCTCTCCAGGTGGCATTACAAAATTCCACCACAAATTCCACCCTGTATTATTAATTAATGTAATTTTTTTACGCACTCGGTATCGAATACGTTTAATTTAAACTCACACTAAGCTCTCTGGTGCGGAACGGAGCGAACGCGGGGAGGTATCGCATTCCAGCGAGATGGGTAGTTAGCTCGACCGGGTTGTACATTGCAGCTTAGTACCTAAATAGTAAAAAGGTTGAACAGCTTAGTAAATAGTAAAATAAATGTGCTTTAAATGTTTGTATTTGTCTTGACGATATATTTTCCAAATGCACGTCCTCTCACACAGCGATTAGCAAGGCAGCGGCGGTTAAACTTAACTTTAACAGACTTTAACTCCATTTAATACTAAACAAAACTTTGACATTGTGAAGTCTAACTAACATGGTTGCGACTAAAATACTTTTTTTGTCTCAGATAAAAAAAGAAACATTCAGTCTTTTTTGTTCAAGATGGTAATATGACACCACGTTGGGCGCCACTCTACAAAATGGCGCCCAACGTGGTGTCACATTGTCATCGCGTGTAACGTGACGTGACGCGCTCACTAGAGCCCATTTTTTTTTCATCATAGCTGACTTCAGTTCTTCAGAAATAATCTAGGATTGTACTTAATGGTGAAAGAATTCAAATTGGTACATTAATTTTTGAGTGTATTCGTTACAAACAAAAATACCAATCTTATCTCTTTATAATATTAGATAAATAGAAGAAGAAGAATAATAGAATAAAGAAAGAAGAATAGAATTACGTACAATGACCCCAAGATACCCATCCTTATCGCTCGCGCGTAATTATATTGCTATCGCGCTCGCACATTCACTGCGGCCGCCCGTCGCACATTCGCGACAGCATTATTTACGTGTGAGCGATAAGGATTGGGGTCATTGTACGAAATTCTGTCTGCTCGGCGACCGGACTTTACTTTATATTATGATCTGCTTTACACCGCCGCTGCCGCCGCCACTCGCTGTGTGAGAGGACGCGCCCCATGAGCTTCTCTATGTTGCAGACTCAGCGCTCTACGCCCACTATGTGTTCAAGGCCTTCGACGTCAACTGCAGTGGCGCCATCAGCTTTAGGGTGAGTGGGATTGGAACTAAATCTATATTTTCTTTATTTGAAATCAAACAGCTTTAAATTGAACGGCCGCCCGCAACTTCGTACGCGTGGATCCCGTTTTACCCTACTAGGGGTGGAGTTTCGTAAAATCGTTTCTAAGCGGATGCCTACGTCATAACATGCATGCCAAATTTCAGCCCGATCCGTCCAGTGGTTTGGGTTGTGCGTTGATAGATCACTATGTCAGTTAGTCACCTTTGAGTTATATGTATATTTAAACTAGCGGCCGCCCGCGACTTCGTACGCGTGGATCCCGTTTTAACCCCTTAGGGGTGGAGTTTCGTAAAATCCTTTCTTAGCGGATGCCTACGTCATAACATCTACCTGCATGCCAAATTTCAGCCCGATCCGTCCAGTGGCTTGGGCTGTGCGTTGATAGATCACTATGTCAGTCAGTCAGTCAGTCAGTCAGTCAGTCAATCAGTCTGTCAGTCAGTCAGTCAGTCACCTTTGAGTTATATTTTAGATATTCACACGAACATCTCGTTTGCAGTGTCCGACAAAAAACCAATAAATTCGATTGCTATTCGGTTTTGTCTTTAAACTGGACCAGTAAAAACAGTAGGTATCCAGTTTAATTGCTACCTACTGTTAAAAGTGTTCCCACTAGCAGCTTCCTTCATACATTTTTTTGTAAACGGTACTGCAAAGGAACGGGATACTATCGTGTAAAAAGACCATAGAAAAAACAAATTGATACCTAGGTTAAATACTTATTTTGATATTTACAACCCGTCTGGCCAGTGTAGGGAGTGTAGGCCAAATCCCCCATTTGCCTCTGGTAAATTAGAGAGGGCCGTGCTCCTGCAACCACGGGCGAGAAGACGTAAGGTAAACGGCTACTAGTTCGTGATAGTACTTAAGTTCGTAAGTTTTTTTTCTAGCTCAAATAATAAGCAAATGGAATATAATTTATAAAAATTCTTCATTACTACAAAAACTCTATTATTTAAGCTATCTAAAAAACCAAGTACAAACATTGTGGCGCCAAAAATGAGAGCAATACGAAGCTTCAAACTCTCAGAGAGCCAAAAACATCCGTGCGGCTTGCAAAGGTCGCTCTCACCGTAAGGTTAGCGCTCCAACTTCTTAAGCTTATAAAAAGGCGAAGGAATGTCCATTTAAATAAAACTTGTAATAGTGGTTTCATGTGTTGCTTGACAATTGATTTGGCTTAGAAAAAAGTTATATGAAAACGTAGAATTCCTTTAAAATTGCGATTAATTGACTCACGAAATAGCGTACATATTATTTTTCGGGTGTCCCCTATTTCGTAACACTACCGATTCAAGGATATTATGGATAACATTTTGATGCTTGGTTTTTAAATAATTATTTATGATAATTTAAATGTAAGTTATGAAACAAATAATGCATTTATTTAAGTTTCTCATGATCTAAATTCGGTATATGTTTCGTTCACTAGAATTTATATGACACGAGTTTGAAGTTCACATAAATGACCAATTTTACGATAAATTAGCATAAGTAGTACCAGCATAATTTTGGTTTTATTTCGATTTGTTTTATTTATCTTTGTTTATTTGTATTGTATACCTATGGGATAGATAATAGTTAATTGACACATTTTGACAATAATCCATGAATTTTACTTGGGGAATTTGGAATAATCAGTATCACGAAACAAGGAACCGTATTATTGTTACTTTTTTCCAAGTTCGTGATATTATTATATAAATGTATGGTGTTAGGTACTTTTATGACACATACCATCAAAGAAATCGACATATTTTTTACTTTTTAATACCTACCTACCTAAGAAATTAATTAATTACTTACTTTTATTATGAGTCATTGGCGTATCTGGGGCTATTTTCAAGGGGGGGGGGCTACCCTCACTTGAAACAGCTCCAGGGGGGGGATTATGGGAAGAAGGGGGGGGTTTTCCCCCCCCCCCCCCTTCCTCCTCATAATCCCACCCCTGGCATCTAATGGTCATATAAATATTTTCACATATCGCTAGAAATAAAAAATCAAAATTTTATGGATACGAAGGGGGGGGGGGATAAGTTTACCCCCCCACCCCTACATTTCTAATGGTTATATAAATATTTTCACATATTGTTAGAATTAAAAAATCAGCTAGACTCACATTATTTCTTATGAATATTTATCGTTTTTAAATTTATTAAACCCTTAATCATTATTAAAATATCCTAACTGGATGCATAAAACCTTATCCCGAAATAGGGGACATGAGTTCACGAACTTAGAAACAGAGCAAAATTTTGTCACGAAACAGGATCCAAACAAGAGGTCCGCAGAACAATTAATATAAAAAAAGTTCAAACTATATAACTATAAATTATGTATTAACTTACTGTCAAAAGACCAAAGTTTAGCATACAAAAGCTTTCATACTGATATCATGCTTGGTTATTTTTAAATAAAATGTTAAAGTCGTAAGAGCCTTAATATACCGAAGTAGGTGGCACTTACCTTAGCGTGGGCAGGCCTCCTACTAGGTGGGCCGACGATCTGGTAAAGGTCGCGGGAAGAGCCTGGATGCGGGCAGCGCAGGACCGTGCATTGTGGAAAACCTTGGAGGAGGCCTTTGTCCAGCAGTGGACGTCATTTGTCTGAAACGAAACGAACGAACGAACGTGCTCCTGCAGTTTAGACTACATGACCTGATGATGATGATGGTGATGATGATGATAATGTACACAAACAAATCGGATACCAAACCTTCTTCTAAAATCTCTCCTACCATCTAAGCAAGAAGATTCCTCTATAATAAGGTATTCTTCTAAAGCCTGGGTCCGTGAGCACGTAGAATCCCGTCCAATGACCCCAAGCTGCCCATCCTTGTCGCTCGCACGTAATTATGTTGCTGTCGCGCTCGCACACTCACTGCGGGCGCGCGTCGCACAGTCGCGACAGCAATATAATTACGCGCGAGCGATAAGGATGGGTAGCTTGGGGTCATTGGACGGGATTCTACGTGCTCACGGACCCAGGCTTTAGTTATCAAAATTATTAAAACCACGCCCTCTGGCGCGCTTTCAAGAAACTTTCAGAATATCAAAAACTTGAAGGTAAGCTCCGACAGTTCGAAGTTTGAGCCTTGGAGCTAGACCAAGAACTGAAATTTATAACATTCGCGGTAAAACTAGGTGGGTAGTTACTGAATTTTTCATTGCTATCGGAAAGAAAGTGCATCGCAAATATTTGTTAATAGTGCCGTACATAACAGAAACCCTATTAACTAAGTGTCTACCTATGTATTTGTCGCTGTAGATTCTTGACTAGTATAGTTAAAAAACTAAAAACACGCTTTTAATTACTGCACTAAAAGGCCAAAAATATTCCAAACTCTTATGAGTTTCCGCCGTTTCGTTTAGGAGTTCCTATGGACATCTCCCGACTCAGGACCCTGGACATCATCTAGCATTAAAGTGCTCGAAAAGACAAATCCAATGAACCCAAACTCGATGCGATTCCGCCATTTCATTTAGAAGTTCCTATGGCCACATTCTAGTTCCATCATCAGACCAGCTTGATGGTACCATAATATTGTATTGTCATCTAATCTACATTTTATAATTACAAAGTTTCATGATCATACAAGAATTAGAAGTGCGTGTAATTCAGATTCTTAGATTCCAATTCCATTACATAGTTAGTTACTTACATACACGACGACCTATATGTAGTTGGGTGCTGTCTTTATCTCATATTAAGTACTGAAGTTTAGGGCAAAAATTAAAATATAATTAAGTGGCATTTAACTGTCTCCAACTCGCTCTGAGGTTGTAACTAGATGGGTGACCATGGGTGGTCATATTTAGCGGCATTTATTACAAGCATCTCCATACACAGAAGGTATAATACACGTTATTCCCGGTAAAGCTTAGTAGAAACATCGATGGTAGCAGATTTTTCCACATTCGAGCTATAAAATACAAACGAATTCAAACAACTAAACACAATTCAAATTATTTACTCGTAGCAAACAGGAAATACAGTTGGATAGCTGCATCTGACACCGGTACAAATTAAAAGTTCACATTTCATAGCCAATACACATTGATACGGCAAGCTCACCAAAATCAAATATGGAGTGACAAGGGCAAAAATGGCGCCCAACGTGGTGCTACAATATTATTATATTTTCCTGCAATTACAATTATTTTAATTGTAATGTACTATTAATAGCGCTATTAAGAACCACGTAAAGACGCTCACAGATAGAGATGTACTTAGTTAGCAGCTCCCGTAAAGAAAGTACCTACTGTCTGAATTTCTAGTTTATGTTATTTGACTCACTCAGCTTGAGTCACAAAATAATTGTGTCTATTTTCTTAAATCGGGATACGGCATGGCGGTAACTTAGGAATGCCTAGAACCGAGGGAAATTAATAGAAAAGTCAACATAGGGGTCCAATCAGAGTGTACATTTCCTGAGACTTCATAGAAAAAAAAAACAAAACAATTACAATAAAAAGTATTAATATAATAATAAAAAGACCGCTGGCAAAACTGGCAGCAACAACAAAAATACAAATTATTCTCATCTAAAAAACACCAAGGAGTTGAGGGATGTTACTGATTGCACAAGCACTGTGTAGTTATCCAATGTAATTCTGCACAGTTTAAAACTCCGGCACTGAAAGTTTAGCTATTACCAACTAGTGCGGGCGAGTTGAGAACAAAATAGAGTTCGATATTATAGTAGGTTAGGTGTCGAGCAATTACTGCCAGTAATTTACTCCGTTTCTGTAAAAAAAACTGCTTTTAAAAGTATTGGAATACCGTTTCATCATCGTCAGATTGGAGCCACTGGACGTCCACTGCAGAACTTAAGCCTCCCCCAATGATAATCCAGATTTACCGGTTGGTAGCGGCTTGCATGAGGTCACCTGTCCACCTTATAGGTGGGTAAAGATAGTGACTGTAGGTATTTAGTTAGCGTGAACGGTGCAGGACTTTCACCCACAAGGTGGGCCGTCGACCTCATAAATATAGCAGGAAGGCGCTGGATGCAGGCTGCTACCAACCGGTTATTATGGAATCAATCAATCATCAATCACCTATGTTCAGCAGTGGACGTCCTGTGATTATTTTTTATTCTTAGATGATATTCCTCCTTGTCTGGGTGTCCACGTAAGACCAGCGTCGTGGCATTATCTACTGAGATGCCACGACACCATGCTGAGTGAACAGTATCATTAGGTACTAGTTAAATCATTTTTAAGTATTGTTGTAGTTTAAGTCTATTGTCGATGATACTGAATAAACATTTCTTCTTTCTTTCTTTCTAACCAAGCCACCGTATTTTCCAGGAGCTTCTAGTGACGCTTTCAACTCTCCTTCGGGGGTCAGTCTACGAGCGGCTCCGCTGGGCCTTCAGGCTCTACGACGTCGATGGAGACGGTGCTATAACCAGGCAGGAACTGGCAGAGGTGGTGGTGGCTGTACATGAGCTACTGGGGAGACGGGCGCCGCCTGGGTCACCTGCTGCGAGGCTGGACGATGCTAAGGCTAACGAACAGGTTGGTTTTTATTTTGTTGGTATTGTATGCGCTGGACTAACCAAGAAATCCGCAGTGGGAAACCACGCACATAATCTTCTGATTAATTTCGTTGCTGGTCCAATGACAGTTTAACTTTCCCCCGGGACAAACTTGACCTTCATTGTTTGGGTTTTTTTGGCGGTCAAACTGTAGATCCTAGCTACACAGGAGTTGCAGCGGTGGAAAACCTTCACAGTGTCAGCCCAAAACTCCGCCACAAGAGTGACGTTGTCAGTAGCCTTCATTAAATCTTCCTGCGTGCAGTTGTTTGGGCACGCAGGGCACGACATCATGTGCTTCGTCGACTGGGGAACAAAACCACACTTTGGAGTGTGGAGAGCTGTATCCGCCTCTACAGTCGAGGTGGACGCCTCTACGTGATCGCTAAAGCTTTGCCAAGAGCGAATATACGGAGAAGAAGCCGGTTTTAAGATAGAGCGGTTGTAATTACTTATAGGATCCTTTGCTGCAAGCCCGAATGATGCGAGAGCTAATGCGTTAGCAGTGTGGTTCCGGCTGAGCAAAGTAAGTAGGAACACCTTCAATCTTCCCGTGGGCGTGGTGACTAAGGGAGAAGTATACGAACAGCGCGGCAGCGTTCCCAATCCATCTGGTCAACGTAGGGAGTGTAAGCCATCCTCATCCATTTGCCTCTGGTAAATTAGAGAGGGTCAAACTTGTAAATTGAACTGATGATGATGAAAAAGAATATAAATTTTGATTATAATTGTTAATTTCCAGGTGGACCGCGTGTTCAGGAAGCTCGACCTGAACCAGGACGGCGTGATCACCATCGAGGAGTTCCTGGAGTCGTGCCTGAAAGATGACGTCATCACTCGTTCGCTCCAGATGTTCGACACGGCACTATGACGTCAATCCGACGCAGCGCGCTCGCAACTTGCCGCCAGGTATTGTTACCTACTTCTTTTCTCCCTCCATGGTTGGGAATTCTCCTTTTTTTCATTCACTAAGGCTTGACCCACAAGGTGGACCGACGGCCTGATAAAGATAGCAGGAAGGCGCTGGATGCATGCCGCTACCAACCATGCGATGTGGAAGTCATTGGGGGAGGCCTATGTACAGCAGTGGACGTCCTGTGGCTGAAATGATAAGGCTTGACCCGTCTGACCAGTGTGGCCAAATCCTCCCTTTTGCTTTTAAATTAGAGAGGATGTCTCTCTGCAGTGGAGACTAAATGACCTGATGATGAAGGCTTCGTGCGGTCTGCACATCAGTGTCAAGCAATAGTGTCAAGTAGGTAGGTACATAGTTCATGGAACTGAAGGCCTTTGGACAGAAAAGTACTCGCAGCCCTATTCGATGGATCCACAAAGTGAATGAAGGTTATAGACGCGGAAACCATCTGCAGTGCAGCGCAGGTACAATCACTGGAAATCGTTGGAGGCGGCCTAAAGGACTTAGCACATACCTACCTACATTGAACCCGGAAAGGGATCGTTACCGTATCAACTCGAGTTGGTCAGTATTCTTTGTATGAAACTCTATACTGCAAGGCACACTTTATCCGCACCGTAAAGCCGGCCCGGGTCTAGACGGATGTAATGTGTAATGTAAGAAATAAGTGTAATGTAACACGAATTCTACGTGTGGACGGCACTACATGAATTACGTATGCACATACTAGTTTCATACATTACACGATACATTACATTACGCGTTACACCCGTCTGGACTCAGCTTAACGTAAATGCCTCGCCTCGTGGTAGTCCTCGCGAGGCGATACGGTGATATCATGATCCCTTTCCGAGTTAATTTAATTTTACTATGATTCACTATTACCTACCTTAAAACCGTCGTTTTTATTATGACTTATTCCAGGGATTATTTTGTTTCCAGGACTGAAGCTAAGCGTGAAAGCCCGTCACTCCGCGTGATCCGTTACTGCCACTGCGCGCGCGCCGACGCCGGCTTCCTGCGCAACATGGCGGCCGCGTGCCGCCGGCGCGTGCGCCTCTGCGCGCGCTACGTCGGCTTCCTCGACAACTTCTACCACGGGGTCGTCAAGCCCAGGATACGGAGCGTTTTGTTTTTCCATTTCTAGAGGGTTAGAGAGCGAGGTCTGATGTTTGTTGGATTTCTTAAGTTTTTTTACAATTACTGCAGGGTAGCTCATGGGTGTATTAATTAGGGAGGGGGGGCTGTCGCCACCCCTACCCCCCTCGCCAATGGAAATTTTACGAACCTAATAATATGTAGGTAAATTATGTTTCTTCCTAAGTGACTAAATGCGAGCGACTGGGCTCGATTGCCCCTCCCCTTTAGGCAAGACTGCTTCTCCCTTGTTCAGAAAGCCCCCCTGGATCAGATTGCTCCCCTCCCCTCTCCTGACTCAGACTCCCCTCTAGCTCAGAAGCTACATAGGGTACGCCCATTAGTGAGTTCGTTATTAGATTTCTTAGATTTTTTTATGACAGGGAAGCTCTTACTCTTGATAGAAAGTGACAATTAGAAGAACAAGCGACTTTCAACCTTAACTCCTCAGCCACAGGAGCTATCCCCCGCACAACATGGCGGCCGCGTGCCGCCGGCGCGTGCGCCTCTGCGCGCGCTACGTCGGCTTCCTCGACAACTTCTACCACGGGGTCGTCAAGCCCAGGATACGGAGCGTTTTGTTTTTCCATTTCTAGATTATCATTATTGAGGTAAAGCGAGGTCTGATGTTTGTTGGATTTTTCTGATTTTTTACCACAACAGCTGGGATTTCATGGGTCAACTGAAGGGGGCAGGGGGGGCTACAGCCCCCCCTCATTCCCCCGAATTTGACGCCGTTACTTACTTACTACCTTGTTTTCATCCATAAGTGTCTAAGTGCGAAGGATCCTGCCTAAAAAACTGATATGCCTCTCTTCCTAGGCTAGACTGCACCCCCCCCCCTTTAGATCAGACTGCTCCCCCTCCCCCTGTAGCTTAGAGGCTGGGTAGATACGCCTATGTAGATTTCTTAGGATTTCTTTTTTTCAACGGGGAAGCTCTTGCTCTCGCTGGAAAGTGATGATCAGTCTAGACTCTAGACTCGCTTTCTCTAGCTAGACTCTAGAGAAAGCGACCTTCATTTTAAATACTCAGCTACATAGAAACTGGTTGCTTTTAGCCTGTAGACCAGATGAAAAGTGACGATCAGTAAGAAACAAGCGAGTTTCACCCTTATTTCAACCTCATAGGATCTATCAGTCTCACCTTCAACGATCAGACAGTATCAAGCGACTTTCAACCTTAACTCCTCAGCCACAGGAGCTATCCCCCGCACAACATGGCAGCCGCGTGCCGCCCGGCGCGTCTTCACTTGATGGAAAACGATTCCAGCACGAGCTTCCTCAACCACAGGAACTATCTTATCTCACACTGTTAAATAGCTTTTAAATATTGCTTGATAGAAAATCGATTTCAATAAGTTATCGTTATTGTAATGTCGATGATTGATACCATACATACAGTTTATAGAAACACAATCACAGCGAAAAACCTATTTTTAGAGAAAAATCCTTCCCCTTTCGCTTCCCGCGCAAAATCATAGACAAAAAAACGACAATTTATTTGATTTTTTTAGTCTGTAGTGGTTAACAAAACGCAAATTTGCACTTCAGGGCCGATTCTCTAAAACAAATTGAATTAGAATTGTTTGAATTTCGAACTGTTTTGAATTGTTTTGTCAAATTGTCAGAAATGAATTTACCTATTTAAAAAATATTTTGTATCTTGCTAAAGGTGAAATAATTAATATTCATGCAAAAGTTTTATTTGCGGATTTTATATAAAATTAGTTGCGGAGTTTTTTATTTAGAAATTAACGTGATTTTTATTTATTAAGGATCTATTTATCGAAGCTTTTTAACACATTGGCGGTTTAGTATTCCCTAATGTCATACCTTACCTACTGATACCAAAAAAGTTGACTAACTCTGGAATATTGAATTTTATATATTTTTTTATATAATTATATGAAAATGATTATTATTTAAAAATCCAACAAGCATCGACCAAGCGCAGACAGAACTTAACCGTAATTTTAGGAGTTACGGTTAACTGTTTAGGAGTTTTTAAAAATTTTACTAGATTAAGTCAACGATTGAGTGCAGAAGTGACTTGATATTCTTTGATTTAAATTCAAATTAATATTATGAGGTGTAAATTTTAAATTAGGTTGTTAAGTCTTGGTGATAAATGTAAAATATGTATTGTATACTATTAGTTTTCCAGTTAATTATTATTTTTCACTTAAAAAAAGGGTACACCGACTAATTTAAAAATGGTCATGGAACTTTTAACAATATTATTTAAATAATTAAGTTGTTTTCCTTCGATTACTCTAATAATAAATTAATAATAATAACAAACCACTTCTATATTCGATAAAAAACTGACAGTTAAAGTAATAAAATAGATAATTGTTTCGCGGTAGACAGCGTAGAATTCAAACGTATTAAAAGAAGTTTTTAGAAGACTTAAAACTCATAATCACCAAAGTAAGACATTATTATACATTTATTTAGTTACTAAGAAAAGCGACGTCTACTCATTTAACACGAGACATAAGAATAAACTTGCTGTTCCATCTTTTAGGTTGCATAAAATAGGTAATTCATTCTTGGGGAAATGTATTACCATATTTTACAAAATACCACACAACCTTGTCGAATTACCAATAAACAAATTTAAGATACATATAAAAAATACCCTTATGTCCAAAGGGTACAAGGTTCGAGACTATATTGATGACAAGGATGCGTGGTCAGTTCTGCACATATTTGATGTACTCGAATTTGGTTATTCTTAGCGTTAGATATTTCCCGTCAATTACTTAGTGGTGACTGAGTTTGTTCCGGCGTTTCTTCTCAGCACTTGCCATTGTTTGTCTCGAAGCGCTGCAGCGCTGGTAGGGCCCAAATGATAAGGAGACATGTAAAGTGCCCCATAAGGGCTAACTTTTCTTTTTTATTATTTTCTATAATAATTTTGACGTTCATAAGTGCCACTTGTGGTCTAAACTGAATAAATACTTTTGATTTTTGATTTTTTTATAGGTCTAGCGCTTAACTCAGTCAGTGCCCGAGGTATGGGAGCGGCACGGGAGGGGTGACATTGATATATTGTAACGTGGCAGAGCATACAAACTGAAGCACATTTGAAGAAATCGATGACGTTTGAGGTCTCAAAAACATCCTCCCGTCTCGCTCCCATACCCCAGGCACTGACTTAGAAGCGAAGACCTATAAATATAAATTCAGACTTTAATTGATTCTGTCACTCATCAATGGCCAGTAGCGCCAATTGATAAAACATTTTTTTTTTCATCAAAAAATAGGTTTGAAACTTTTTCTCTTGATTTTCGAAAATTGGAGTATAAAAAATAAAAAAAAATGTGGTGTGAGTCGTAAGTTTTCTAACTACTTCGAGCCCTAGAAAAATGGTAGATAGTCCCTAATCACCTAATGTTATTAGCATGTAAACAATATTGTCCTTTAGAATCGGAGTTTTGATGATTACCTAGTGTCATTTTTAAAAGCCGATAACCAGAATCAGATGATATAAACAGAAACGAATAAAAAGCTCTTACACATCAAAGTTTTTATAAGTTTCATTACTTTATTTTGTATACAAAAAATTGAAATCTATATTATATTATTTATATGAATATGCTTTTAAACTACGCGAACCTGTAGATTCTTAAACAAGGTTTCGATTTAGCTTTCCATAATACAGTGTTTTTAAGTTCAATTTTTGCAAAATCATAATAATATTTCATTGAAACACTGACATATTGCTTACACTTTTCGCGCCAAAGGACATTGTCAATTTTGCAATATAAGACCACCAAGATGGCTTTTTACTAAGTCTATATAATAAAATTGCCATGCCATATAATTTTAAGATCACAAAATAGAGGAGCAGAAGACAATCTACATACAAAGTGCGCTCGAGCAACGCGCACATAATCGCAAACCAGTCTAAACCAGTGCGTGTGCTTATGCAAAATAAAGTATGTATCTACATACCAGTGATTTTCTTCTGCTACTGTCTTTTTTGTGCTATCTGTTTATCTTGTATATTTTCAAATACATTATTTTCAAAATTGCTAATGTCTTTTGGCGCATGAATCTTTTTATGAAAAAAGGATCTTTTATAAGACAGCTAGAGCGGTCTGCAAAATTTCGACGGCCACTAAAATAATAGAAAAAAATATTTTTCAGAATATTATCTACATTGAAAGCTCTTTTTCATCTTTTATCAATATTTATACGACAACAGGGTAATATACCGCTCCTTTGAACAGCTGAAATGTTATTTTAAAATGTTTTAAAACCTTTTGGATGTGCTTACCATGATGAAGATATTTTTCTATAGAGAAATACAGGATGGTAGGGATAGGATGGCAAAATCTAAAAAAAAAAAAGATTTCATCCAAATTTTATTTCTGGTGGAATCAATGGAATTATATTATGCGAATTATGGGTCATTTTTCACTTTTTTAACCGGTTTTATTTGTATTTTTCATGATGAAAACCTTTTATTTAGTGAAATACTGAAATATAACCGTATTTGTTTTTTTTATTATTAATGTGATTGTTAAACCAATAAACTAATCTTTAAAAAAAATCAACACACTTTTGCTATTAGTTCTCAGTTAATAAAACAAATGATAACGAGCTTGTAACAGTAACCCGAGTCCACTATTTAAATTTTTGCCACTCTGTCCTTTCCACCCTGTATAATTTCTGTAATATTTTGGCTTTTTGTCGTATATTATGATGTTTTATATGACCTTTACCCTAGTACTAACAAATTGCGTACGAAATTAGTTATTGAATCTTTTATTAAACTTCCATTTCAGTCCTATCCTAAGATCTTTTGGACACGTGCATATTTATTAGTACTGGAGACATTATTTATGGATATAAAGATGTATATATAATTTTAAACCTTGTTGCTTTGATAATAAATATGTATATTTTTAAACGATTGTACAGCTTCACCTGAGTGTGGCTCTATAATGTATAAACTACTTGTTACGTTTTTTAATAATGTTAAAAATTAAAACGAATGTAAATTTAATTATCCAAATAGATATAGCGGGTGATATTGGAT